CTTCAGCAAGTTAGCAAGCCTCTAAGCAACTCAGTGAGAACCCGTCTCTTAAATAAAATTTAAAAAAAGGCAAGGGATGTGGCTCAGTGGTTAAGCACCCCTCAGTTCAATACCTAGTACTAAAAAAAGAAAAAAAGATTGGCTATAGAGGTGGTTTAGATATAATATTTAATAAATATAATTATGATAAAAGGAACTTAAATATATTAAATCTATTAAATATTAATTAAAATGCTTACCACAGAAAACTATCTTATGAAGCAATCAAAAGTTTATAGATTCAGTGACTATATTAGTGACCTATGTGCATTTTAAAGAAATTGAGCGTATTTGCCATAAACTTCCAAATAGAAAGTTCTAAACATCCATAAATTTTAAATGAGAGGATTTTTTTGCTCAACTTTTCTTATTGTAGTTATACACAGAATGTCTATGATTTTAAATGTTTTTTTTCATTTAACAGGTATGTAAACAGATATCACTTGCTTATTTTATTTCTACTCTTAAAATTATACCATTGCCAGAAAACCTACTGATATACTTTAAATGTTTAAATAAAAATTTGAACAACTCATAATTCTAGCAGTAAATAAATTGTTTCCTATCATTTAGGCAAAGAAGGAAGGAAGGGAAGGAGGGATGGGTTCTGGAATTGCGTATGCCATAAACAACTCATTAAGAAGAATTAATAAAGTAGTAGATCCACATACAAAAATTTATGAGATGTGATCCTGTTGCAAGTTTGGGGGTCACTTGTTGAAATGAAGTGATAGTGTTACAGTGAATGTAAAAATAATATATTTTTTTAAATCTATTTTTTATTGGTTGTTCAAAACATTACAAAGCTCTTGACATATCATATTTCATACATTAGATTCAAGTGGGTTATGAACTCCCATTTTTACCCCAAATACTTTTATGCTTCCATATTTTGTTTAACATGGTTGCTCTCTTGTTCTTGCTCAAATAGCATAATGTTAGATTTAAAATTCATTTATTAAGTTCATATTAAAAGAGAAGATACTTTAATTGTTCTTAAATTACTTTAAAAGGAAAACCTTTTTTTTCTTTCGGTGAGCATATGTAGCTCTCTGACACCTCTCAGAGCATCAATAAAGACAAAACAAAAGCCCAGCTAAGTCTGTGACTATTTTATAGGTTTGCCCTTTTGACTTCTGAACTGTTTTTGTTCCAATTCTATCCAAGCCTGGAGCATGTAATAAACATGGTAAATTAACAGCAAATACTCTGGTGCCAGACTACGTTTCAGGACCTGATTTTACAGGTTCTGTGTTCTTTCTGGTCTCAGATATGACTTATGTGTGCTTCCCTGTGTCTTCGTGGTCTCAACCCCTTATGTGACTTTGTGTCAGTTATAAAATGACTCTGTGTCTCATTTCATTATAGTAAAATAAGTATAACAGTATCTATTCAACAGGGTTTTTTTTGGGGGGGGGGTGCAGTATTAATACCAGGGTTTGAACTCAGGGGCACTTTACCACTGAGCCACATCCCCAGCCCTATTTTGTATTTTACTTAGAGATAAGACATTTAAGTTAGTATTTAGCAATTATTTAAAAGATTCCCCCCAACACACAATGTTAGTGGTTAGAAACATGGGCTTGAAAATTAGATTAAGTGTTTGAAAAAACTGAGTTGCGTAGCACCTCGCGGTTGCTAAGGCTGGCTTTGAACTCTTGATTCTCCTGTCTTAGCTCCCTGAGCAGCTGGGATTATAGGCATGTGCCACTGAGCCTGGCTCAACAGGGTTTTAAGTTATTAAATTAATGTATATATTTGGAATGGTGCTTGGTACACTATGATTACATGGGAGATATCCTAATCCAATTCTTCCTCTTCACTTTTGATTTTCCATGATAATTTCCCATTATAGCTGTGTTCCCTCCCATCTCAGATATGACTTATGTGTACTTCCCTGTGCCTTTGTGGTCTTAACTCTTGCTTCCAGATTCTCTCTAGCTTCACTAGTTATTTCTTTTTGGCCTTTATCATTTCAAACATCATTCCTTGGGAAGGCTTTCCCAAGGAAGACCTTCCCTCGTCCTTCCAAGCTAGAATAATTGTCCCTTTCTTTAATATAGGACCATCTAATATAATTTTGGGGAATTAGGCCTCTCTGAGAAACTGTTATTTAGACATAAAGTAGGAGTTATATTGGCCATGGAGGTGAACAAAGGGTTCTAGGTAGGAGGAACCATTCACATAGTGGTCCACAACAAAATGAGCTTGGTGAATGAGAACAGGGAAGATGCTACTGTGATTGCAAGAGAATGAGTAGGAGTAGGAGGTTGAGGTTAATCAGAGAGGCAGAGCCAGATCACACAAGACCTAGTGTATCAAGGGAAGAATTTTCTTCATTAACAAAAGGAAAACTCACTAAGGAGTTTTAAGTGGGGGATAACATGATCAGTTTTGCATTTTTGACAGATGATAATGATTGCACTGCAAAAGATTTGAGAATGAGAAGACCTAGTAATTGGTTGTAGACAAAGGTCCAGATAGAAGGACATGCAAAAGATGCTGTTTAGGAATCTAGCATGTCATCATGTAAATCATGTGCCATTTACGGAGAAAGAACAATTAGAAAACGTTTAATCTAACTAAGTGCATGTGTATAATAAGCTCCATAGTGACAATTATTACTATTGTTATGCTGGTTGTGATTACTAACTATTAAAAATCTTTTGCTGCAATTCAGGATAATGGTAAATTGTATGGATTTCAAAAGATTTGGGCCTGACCTATTGTTCCCACAGGGTATACAAGCACTTCTGGATTTGATGTTTGAAAAAAAAAAAAAAGTCATCCTAATGGGAAAATGTAGGATAGACTTGGTGTAACATGTAAAGGGAACATGAGAAAACAGGTTCTTCTTTCTTGAAGTTCTTTCTCCTTTATCCCCCCAAACAAGAAATTTTTGATATAATAATATGACCATAGCCAACAGGTCCATGAAGTATCAGTGTTATATGGAAGAACAAACCTAGAAAATTAGCCTTAATTTGACTGCTGGGCTGAATAATTGATGAACACAGACAGATCAAATATGTTTCTACAAACTGGGTATAGACACAGTAAACAAATAATTCAGGAGATGTATCTAAACCTTTGATATTACAAAGGTACTGTATGTCTTATTTTTTTTTCATTTAGATTTATTCATATATTTTTGCCTTATGTGACAATCTGTCATATTCATTTATATTGTTTACATGTTGCAAAATAAGATGCCTATTAAATAATTAGTTATTAGATTGATCATGCAATCCCTTTGAATTATGGTGCAGTACTTCCTGTACAAGCATATAGGAGTTTGCAAAGCTGTCACTGCCTTTTTACCTAGAGATGCAAGGAAAGCAGAGACCACGAAGTAGGATTATATGGATACATGGCGCTGAAGAGAATTCCTGTTATCACATCCTGCTCATTCTGTTAAAGAAGCCCTGGAGCATATGAAGTGGATGGCCAATGTGTTGAATATACTGAAATGTGGGTCCACTTCAGAAATCTTGAACCTTGAGTCAAGAAATCTTATAGTACTTAATCTACATGCTTATAGGGCATTTGACAACAAGACATCTACACAAAGACTAAAGAAAGAAGCAAGAAGGGAGAGACAAATCTAAGAAAAGTTCAGACTTTTCTTAGATTTCAGACATGAAGTTCTGTCTAATATTTAAAGCTGTAGTGATTCTTGCTTAAATTCACACATATCCATTTGGCATCATGTAAGCACAATCACCACTGGAGAACATCATATAAAGATTTATACATGAGTACACTATGAGGAATTATAGAGAAAAGGAAATGATGAGTATTTTAACTGAGATTATGAACATGTTTGGCATGTATTTTATTCATACTAGAATGCTTATGACGTCCTTGAAGTACTTTGATAATTTTATTTATGCTTTCATTTTATTAAATTAAGAAAAACATCTAATAATATTTACCTTCAACATTTCTTACTTAAATAAACACATTTAAATAGCTTAAAATGAAAATGATTTCATTACTGTTTTGAGTAATTTCTGTCTGGCCTGGTATAATTCATCACAATATAAAGAACCTTTTTCAATGTGATAAAATGAGCCAGCACTGAATCACTTGAGCATTTGCACATATCCCTCATTATACTCTTAAAGTTATATTAGCTTCAGAATTTTACTTTTTGATATTTGTCAAAGATAAGACATTTCAGTTACTATTTAGCAATTATTTAAAAGATTCCCCCCAACACACAATGTTAGTGGTTAGAAACGTGGGCTTGAAAATTAGATTATGTGTTTGAAAAAAACGTCTCTACCATATTTTAGCTATTTTACCATTTAATCTCTTTCTTTGAGCTTTCTGCATAAACTTCAGAAGCTGATCTGAAGAACAGGATAAAGAAGAACCTATCTCAAAAAATTGTTGTAATTGTTAATGTTTTATTACGTGTGAAGAACTTAGAACTATGCCTGGTACATAGTGTCTAAAAAAATGCTAGCTATTATAAGTGTCACCATAATCATCATCACCACCATCATCCTTCCAAAATAGAATTATTCATTTTCTTCTTGAAGAATAGGTAAAATAAAGAGTCTATAAAATATTTAATCTTTCCTTTATATTCCCAGCCCTAGCTTTATCAGAAGCATTAATCTTTCTTATTTCCACTCAATAGATTTTTTTTTTAAGTCCAGTGGGTCTCAAGCTTTCTTTTGCATTGACTCTTACATAAAGTAGCAAAACATTCTATGACCTTTAACATGATTTAATCTACAATTTTAGAATCCTTGGATTAAAAACAAACATGAACAGGGAGATTTAAGGATACTTTGCAATAATTACATAGCCCCTCTAGGGTCTGAGACTCACTTGGTTATGAAACATTGCTTTAATCAATAATTATCACACTTAGATTTAAATGTAATTCAGATTGTTAAAAAAAAAAAACACAACAACCCAGTGGGTCATAGTTCTTTTTTCCTCCTTACCTCGCCCATGACTGCTATGGGTGTCTCTCCTGTTGCCTGAGCAACACGATGCTCTACTAAGTAGAACATGTACTCATCGTAGAGTAGACGGATCAGGTGGAAGGAGCCAAAGCTAGCAGCACTGCGCAAAGTTAAATCCCGAATAACCATTGAGCTGTGCCAAGAGAAAAGACATATATGCAGCCAATGTTAGTGATGAGGGTTAGAGTTCAACTTTTTTTTTTTCCTCTTAACAGAAGTTAAGTTGGGAGCCTATGTAGTTGGTATAGCAAGAAACTTGCCAGGAAATAAATTCATTATTGAAAGCATTTGGCTCAACTCATTTAAAATAGAATGGCAAACAATTAACTCTCCCTAAGGTCTGATCCTTATTAGAGTAGACAGATTTTCAGTGGGGAAAACCATTTTACCATTATAGGTCTGTCTACCTGTTTCTTTAAACTCAAGAATGGATCAGAATTGAACAAAAACTTTTTTGAAAAGCTGTTAACTCATCATCAACATAAGAAAAAGCAACTCAAAGTAAAAACCTTATTGATTATGTATTAAGCATTCTGTTATCTCTAAATGATAATGATCTTCAGGATATAATTTTAGAAAAATAAGTATTTGTGCCAGACAAAGGGTACAAAAACACTAAGCAAAGTTCCCAGGTGTAACCATACAAAATGTAGCTAAGTATGTATAGGGTTTCCAGCAAGTGTTGTTAAGAAGGCAAAATCATTTAATGATTCCAGTTTCTTACTGATTTTCATTTAAGGTATTTTTCTAGTAGAATTGGGAGTTACAAAATACTTAACTTTGAAAAATGTGAACATTTAATTTGTATTAATACCCAAGTATGAACAGTATTAATAAAATACTACTAATAAGCTATTCAAAATAGAAATGAGCCCAAAACAAAATCCTGGCCTCCTGAATGATGTACTAATCATTATGATTGTTCATGTACTTTAAACTTCTTTAATATTTGTAACTTAGACCCAGAATGATGTATATATATTTATGCAGGTATAGTTTTCATCACTTTAAGTGGTCTTTAAGATTTTTGATCTATAAATACTAAAAGAGCCATCATAGCCTCAGTAGGAAGAGACAGAATCTCACAAATGTAAGCCTGATATTTCAGGCCTTGTTTTCCAACGAAGAATCATAAAATGCAGGAAAAATGAAAATCATAAGACTATAGTTCAGTTTTCTGCTTCATTTTTAACCTCTTTAAAACAGAGGCTATTAATACCTCAAATTCTAGAGATTTAATTTGACAAATGACAGATCATTATTGTACATCTAAAACTCAAAAGCCCTGAATTCTGATTCTTGCTTTTCATTGACTGCTGACCTCCAGTATATAATTTCCCTGACACTGTCTTTTCCTCTTGGGAGAAAAATGAAAGAAATGCTTTTAGTCTTGTTTAACTCATATGGTTATTTCAAGATAAAATGACCTAAAGAATGTGAAATCAACTTATGAATGAATAGAACATGACTCAAATGTTTAAGTGATTGTAGTTATAATATATAGAATAGGAGGAGCTGAGCTTATTCTCATTTGTTTATGGCAGTAAGAATGGGGATTGCTATATGCCGATGACAGGGGACCTCTCATTTCTGTGGATCTATGTACAAAATAAAATAGAAACCACTCATTTAGAGTTAGATTCAGGTTGCCACTATGTGATCTTGGTTGTGATTACGTAAACTTTTTTTAAGACTCAAAAGTTAGACTGAGAGCAAATTGAGATAAAGTAAAATAGTTATCTTTTATCTGTAGTTTTGATCTCCTTAGCTTCATTACATGTGGTCAACTATAGTCTGAAAATATTAAATGAAAATTCCAGAAATTGTGGATGCTTCTGAGTTGTGTGATGAAATCTCCTGACATCCTGCTCCTTGTTGCCCGGGATGTGACTCATCCTGTTCAGTATATCCACACTGTGTATGCTTCAGCCTGTTAGTTACTTAGTACTTGTCTTATTTATCACATCTATGACAGTATTACAACACTTGCATGCAAGTAACACTTATCTTTCTTAAGAATGGTCCCAATGAGCTGGTCATTTAGATATGTGAAAGAAGAACGGTAAAGTGATTTATTTAAGTGAAAAGATGAAGATTTTTGACTTAAGGAAGCAAAAATTATATACTAAGACAGCTAATCTATAGTAAGAAGAAATCATCTGTGAAATTGAAAATAAAGAAGAAATTTGGGCTAGATTTGTTGTCATATCTCAAACTGCAAAGGTTAGAGACAGAACCTGGTAAGTAGACAAGGCATTACATTTTATGGTTCGGTACTATATGTGCTTTCAAGCAGCCAGTGGGGATATTGGAATGCATCCCTCATGAATAAGGTAGGAATACTGTACATGGTTACTACATTGTTATATAGATTAGAGTTAATAATATATTCATTATCATAAATAGTAGTTCCAGTACTTGATTCCTTACAGTCAAATACTTAAACAGATTCCTTATGTTTAGAACTCTACTTTAAAGGTAGATAACTTTAAAAAGAATATCTTCATTTATGTACCAAAGAAATATGACAAAATTCTGTTTATAATTCTATTCTTGTCTTTCCTAAAATTCAGTAGTATATCACAAATATGTAAAAATAGTTTACATGAACATAATGACTATTTTAAATGAAAGATCTTTCCCTTTGGAAAAAAAATTAAAGAATCCTCTACATAAAAAACACAGGAAAAAAATAACACAAGAGTAACAATGCATTACATTTTGTCCCTTAACACCAACTTAAAGACAATAATTTTGAAAATGATGCAAGACCAAAACACTCACACTTAACTGCATCTATCCTGCTGAAGAAAAGTAAATTATTAAAATACAGCCCAGAGAAGACAAATGGCTAACAAACATACAAAAATAAGACTAATTTTATTTGAAATTATAGAAAATGAAAATTAAAGCAAGACACTACCCATTACCTATCATACTGAAGGAGATTACAAGACCCAGTGTTACAGAGAGTTTGAGAAAAGAACTCTACTATCTCCACAAGTATAAATCCACAATCTTTTGTAGAGAGGAATTTGTCAAAATTTAAGATGTTAAATCCTTTTATTTAGTGATTCTAATTCTAGATATTTATGCAAATGAGTAAGGTTAGTTTTAATTAAAGCATTAATTGTATTAGTGAGAAAAATTAAATATTCACTAGTAGGATACTGATTAAATAAATTATGGCTCCTTATATCCAGAATTACATACAATAGTTAAAAAAAATAAGAAAGACATAGTTGCTAACATGGGAACATCTATTATATGATATTAGGTTAAAGAATCAACATGTAAAAGCTGACTTACACAAAACACCTTTATATCATTTACAAAATCCTAACCCTAAGTAAATGAGAATATCTAATTATCTTAATACTTTATTAATAGTAAAATTGCACACTTCACTGAATAGCATTAGTCATTTTAAAACATTTATCTTCAGATATATGTATAACTGTATACAAATATAATCAGTAATTTTAAAAAATTCTATCAAAACACTAAAAACCATCAAAATGTTCAAGAAGAAGAAAATAAAGGAATGTTTAAATCATGTATGACACATATATTATGTGGCCATTAAAAATGAAGTGGCCCCTTCTTGCCTATAGTTTTACTTTTCTATGGTTACCCATAGTCAACCTCAATCTTAAAATGCGAAAAGGCAAACTTAGGAAATAAATTAATCATAAGTTTAAATTTTGTGACATTCTGCATATTACAATGAAATCTTATGCTGTCCTACCCAAGATGTGAGTGTTTAATGTATCCACACCACATATGTAACCCACCTGTTACTCACTCATAGCTGTATCATTCATTAGATCAAACTGTTGCAACATCACAGTGTTTGTGCTCAAGTAACCCTTATGATGAAGTAGCCTAACACCATGGTATGTCACAATAGTCCTGTTATTCCTCTCATTTTATCTCTTCATATAGGCTTTGTATCATCTCTCTTCATCATAAGAAGGGTAAATATAATAAGATTATGAGGGAGAGAATCCACACCCACCATACTCGCAAAATTTTCCTTACAGAATAGTGATTCTATTTTTATTAGTGTCATTAAACTCTAATTGTGTCTAATTGCAAGTCAAACTTTATCTTATGTATGTATAAATGTGTAGGAAAAAGCAAAGTGTGTGTGTGTGTGTGTGTGTGTGTGTGTGTGTGTGTGTGTGTAGGGTTTGGTATTGCCCTTGGTTTTAGGCATACACTAAAGGTCTTGGAAAATATCTCCTATAGGAGTATAGTATGTTTCTGGAGGTAATGACAAGAAATTCTCAATGCATAATGTTAAATGACAGATATTCAAGGAAAAATACAGGTAATAATCTTTGGTAAGCAACTGGATCTCAATTTTATTTAATATCAAAGAAAATATTTTACCAGTGTTTTTTATTAGGGGGTGGGCATAGTGAAATTATGGGTAATTTAATTTAATCTTTGTATATACAGTTTTTTTTAAATTTTCCAGATTATCTAATATGAAACATATTAATTTCATAATAAAAATATTTGTTTTACAGCTTACTACAGGGGCACAGCAACATCAATGTTTATAGCAGCACAATTCACAATAGCTAAATTGTAGAACCAAACCAGATGCCCTTTAGTCGATGAATGGATAGGGAAAATGTGGTATATATACACAATGGAATATTACGCAGCATTAAAAGAGAACAAAATCATGGCATTTGCAGGTAAATGGATGGAAATGGAGAATATTATGCTAAGTGAAATAAGCTAAAAAAGGACTATCCCCCAAAAACCAAATGCTGAATGTTTTCTCTAATATGAGGATGCTGACTCACAGTGGGGATGCGGGGTCAGCATGGGGGGATGGAGGACCTTTAGATAGGGCAAAAGGGAGGAAGGGGAAGGGAGGGAGTTTGAGAGTAGGAAATACGGTGGAATGAGATGGACATCATTACCCTAAATACACGTATGAGACACGAATGTTGTAACTCTACTATGTGTACAACATGAAAAATCATGTTGTATATGTGTAATATGAATTGAAAGGCATTTTGCTGTCATATATAACAACTTAAAATAAATAATCTAAAAAATTTTTGTTTTAAAATATAACTTTCATTATATTATAGAAAAATAATTATGACTCAA